CGGGAGGATCAAAAAAGTAGATCCCCTCATTTGGGACCCTGACTACCAGAGGGTACTCTTTAAAGGAACCCTCCTTAAGGGATCTACCTTTTTGGATCCTCCCGTTGGTCTGGGGTGACCCATGTGGTGTCCCGCCCGTCAGCGATGAGAGCCGGTACAGGCGTTACCCAGAGACTCCAATATCCCTTAATTAAGGAATATGCCTTAAATTATAGGGGGCCTTAAAGGGATCTATAGGGGTCTCTACAAGGGTTTTTAGGGAATTAGGGAATATACCTTAAATCATATTCGGGATCCTACTAAAGTTTAAGGGGTATTCCTTAATTAAGGGGTATTGGAGTCTCTGGGTAAGGTGAAGGTGCATAGGCGTTTCGACTTTCCGGTTTGTCTGATCCTAAATCAAACCGTAGAGCCTAGCAGAGAGGCCCCTATACCCTTGAATCGAGAAAGATGCCTCAAGCTATCGAGGTCTCTGAGAGCGTGGGTTTGAGGAGTAGTCCTTGACTAGGGCTAGATGGGGATCCCTGTAAACTCCTTTTCGATGCAGAACCAGCAGGCGTCCCTGTCATGCTGACTTGAATTGAGCTCCACCCAATAAACCGCAAACCCCTCAACAAAAAAACCCGACAAGCTGTTTGAATACCTAGGACGATACGACAGCCCCCACAAGCCCAAGACCCTTAACCCGAAACCCCTAAGCCCCTAAACCCCTAACCCCTAAACCCCTAAACCCTAAACCACTAAACCCTAAACCCCTAAACCCTAAACCCTTTAATTCGAAAACCCCGTCCCCCCCCCCCTCTCAACTACCCCCCCGAGTCCCGAGGTGAGGGTGCCGACTCGAAGCCGGCGCTTGCACTGAAAGCCAAGATCCACGGTTACCTCGACGAGGTGCCTGTTTTAAGGACATTTTCAGGTGGGTAGTTACCGTTATAGGAGCCTTATAGAAGGTCTATATACCTTATAGAAGCCTCATACAACCCTACATACCCTAAACTCCCCACCTGTAGTCTCCTTCAATTTTTTTGTTACATAATGAGCCTATGGGATTGGGCTATATACTTGGGGTTCATTTAGGGAGGGTGTACTTCGGAGTGTACGCTTTCGTGTTTGCAGGCCTTCGATGCTGTTAGCGGCTTGTTTCGACAAGGTGTGTACGAAGTCTTTTGGGGCCTGTCGGGGTTTTAGATGAGTATTGGAATAGTAAGCTCCCGCGAGGCCCTCTGGTGCATGTATATCACTCCCAGACCCCTTAAGGGAGCATCCAAAAAGGTAGATCCCTTAAGGGGGTTCCTATAAAGCACCCTTTAGTAGTTAGGGTCCCAAAGATCCTCCCTTACGGGGTCTGGGCTGAGACCATAGGCATTATATTGCGAGAGTTACCCTTGATGGGCTTGTTGTCTTGACTGTCATTGCTAGAACTAGTAACTGGATCAGGATGGTTTGCCGTCTTGAAGGAAGTTTGGGGCTCTCTTTCGGCCAAACTAGAGAGAATCCAAAACCGGACATTGTCACACAATGAGCTCATGCCTTACGAACTTGCCAGGGAATTCGTTCTCTCATTTGCTGGAGATGTGTCACCTCCTCCCATGGTACAAGCCTGACCTGAAGAAATGCTGAATTCCTTCCTTACTTCGGGTTCCATAATATTGCCGTTTTTCTTTTACCCCTGCTCTCATTGTTAACAGGAAAATCTTCTTCGCACCCCCTACTCGCAAAGGCCCTTATATTAAGCACTTATAGAGGTATAGCAACCCTCATCTTTACCCTTAGCGACCCCCTTCAAAAGGAACCCTCAGCGTTTAGTCTGTGGCAGTATTCGGGGGGGGGGATTGAAACAGAACTAGATGAGGGTTCCTTTTAAGGGCCCCCACATTAAACACGCATATCCCCTTCAAAAGGAGCCCTTGAAGGGAACCCCAAACCCTAGACCCTAAACCCCAAACCCTACGGCTCTAAGGACTCACATTTTAAGGCTTTGGGGCCCAAAGACCATACTTTGTAAGGGTTTCTGGGCTATTTTGAGCCTTAGGGTAATAAACTCTAAACCCGAAACCCTAAACCCTAAGCCCTAAACTCCTAAACCCCAAACCCTAAGCCCTAAGCCCGGATGGACAACTGCCACAGACCGAGAAGCTGAAAGCAGAGTTGGACTCCGGCGAGGCCCAAACTCCCCGCGACTCTAAAGCGAGAGGGTTTGGGGGTGGGTCGGGGCTTCAACCCCCAACCCCAACCTGTAAACCCAAAACCCTAAGGGCTTCAGGGTTCAAGGGGCCCCCTTTTAAGGAAGGTCCTAAACCCTAAACCTAAACCTTAAGCCCTAAACCCTAAACCCTTTTAAGGACGGGGGTTTCTCCAGGATTCTAAGACGAGTTTAGTGTTTTTTTGGGGTTTGGGGCTTCAGGCTTTCGGGCTTTTGCGCCTCTGAGGGTTTCTATAACTTAGGCAGTGTAGGCCTTAAAAGAGGGGCCTAGCTAGCCAGAAGCATGATTGTTTTGGTGTTTTCTCATTTTTATGTATGGTATGAGACCCTGCAAAACGCTAGTTAGCCTGAATGTAGCTTCAGGCAGCTGTGTTGGAGTAACAGGTTTCATTGACTTGTGCTTCGAAGTTGCATTGGAGATCATGTTGTAGGGACATGTTATCAAGTCGAATATTTTAACCCAGTGCGAAGTGTGTACGCTCTGCTTGTTTATGAGGTTGTGGGAGTTGGTAGGATGTCGTACTGTTTCTCGGTTGTAGTTGCGTTTCGTAGGGTCCGTATACATATGTGCATGTACCGATACAAACGTATCTTATTATGCATGCATGCATGCATGCATGCATGCATGCATGCATGTCACCATGTATGTATGTATGTATGTATGTATGCAATATGTATGTAGGTGGGTCGGTCGGTCGGTCGGTCGGTAGGTAGGTAGGTAGGTACCTCTCTGGTCTGCTCTGCTAGCGTGCAGGGATCTTCGCGCAGACTGACTTGAGATTGTGGTCTGATGAATTGGCATACGCTTCTTCTTGCCGGTTCTACGGGGTTCTATGGTTGTGCTAGGACGTATCAGAAGACGCTCAGGAATTAGAATAGGTTGTCGTACGTTGTGCAGTAGAAGCATACCAAATCAACTAGATGTGTTAGATTCGTATAATTCGTGGGCTATAACATGCTATGACTCATACTGATGCACACCTCTAGATTACAGAGACAGCCTAATACCCCTTCTTCAAACAAGTGGCAACTTGGGCTCTGCCCGAAATCGTTTGCCGTAAACCGGTTCAGGCGTCGAAAGCCCCGGACAGCCACATGCCAGCCTGCGCCTAAGTGGATGGCTTTTCAAGTTTTCTAGTGGAGCCCATGACGGGACTGGAATCCAAGTTCCTCAAATTTCAAGCACTTCGTAACTCTGTGTGCTGTTCGGGGCTGCCAACTTGAGAGGTTCTGTGATGTGGATCTTAACAAGCTGCATTGGAGGGATCCTATTGCAAAATGCTTGAAAGACTGAACACATCAGCTGCAATTGGTAAGCAATCTTGCAGGAGCACAACAACCACCGCCATCATCGTCATCCTCAACTCTTCCCCTCTTCCCCAGCTGCAGTTGCAGTGCTCTAGACCCTAGTCTGCCTCTTCATGCCCCTGTACTACACCGCTGAGCCCAAGCCTACCAACCCAAAGCCGTTTCCTGTGCATCCTGAAAGACACATCCCGTTCCCAATCCCAAAAAGCTCAGTCAGCTTTTGAAAAACACCGGAAGTCCTCCAAAATCTCCAATTCACCAAGACTGGTCCTTAGGTCTCCTTCTAGTTCTGATGCCACAATGCAAGGGAAACCATTTTTAGTTCATAAGGCCCTTACACTACACCGAAGGCCTCTAAACCCCTGAACCCGAAACAAGAAAGCCCTAAGATCCTAAACGCACCGTGACCTCCCGAACCTCCGACCTATGTCGGACTGGAGACACCGCAATGCACGGTCCAGGCACAGCTGAAAGAACACAAGAACGGTGCTGTGGGTTTCTCTTGAAATCGGTCGATAATTCAAATGACTGCCTTACTATCACCGATAGCCTGACAAACGAATTCCCCGCATCCTGTCAAAAGAGCCATGGCCTGGTTCTTGAATGAAAAAGTGCACACCCAAGTCATCGACCCGGACATCCGAAGCCTAAAGGCCTAAGCTACAGCCGGATAGAACTCGTATGCACCCATGGTAAAGCCCTACAAAACGAGCGCTCTAAACCCTGAACCCTTACGCCTTAGGGCGGGATTCTCTGCGGAAGCGAAAGTCCATTGCAGCTTAAGAAAAAACCTTACACCCCTATTTTAAGACCCTTAAACCCTAAACCCCATAAACCCCAAACCCGATAAACCCCAAACCCTTTTTTTAAGACCCCGTAGAGTAACCTTCGGGCGTGAGAGGCTCTCGAGGACGATGTGGAGGGTTGCCTCGGGTCTGGGCCCCAGCACCGGGACCCCTGCAGTGAAGCCAAAAGCCGTGAACTTCGGGTTTAGGGTTTCGTGGAGTTTGGGGTCTAGGGCTTCGTGGGTTTAGGGTTTAGGGTTTCGTAGGGCTTGGGGTTTGGGGTTTCGTAGGGTTTAGGGTTTAGTTTCGTAGGGTTTCGGGTTTCGGGTTTACAGTTTAAGGTTGAGGATTTCGGGCTTCAAGGTTTTGGGTTTAGGGTTTCGACTTAGGGTTTCGTTGTTGGAAAGGCCTCATAGAAGTTTTATAGAGTTTGGCAGCACTTTCCCCAAAGCCCAATACCCTTCAGCCTGTCATCAAGGGCTTTTGGAGGCTCTCTATAGGGTTTCTTCATATGGGTTTACTACGCTTTGGGAGGAAAGCCCTCAAAGTAATCTGAGGTAGGGGCTTTGTGCGTTTTAGAAATACTTAGTAGCTGAATGAGTGCACCTTAAGCTTTTTGGGATAAGATGATCCCTTATAGAACTGAAAGTGTACACTTTTTTTGGCTTACAAACTCAGCAGCTAGGAATAGGTTTGCGGGGCCTTAACGGAAAGAGGTCTTGGGCCGTGGATATGCAACTGTGGAAAATCTTGAACCCTAACCCCCACAGCGCAAGCCCAAAACTACATGGCTGATGCAGCCAACCATGCAAGAAAGAGTATATAAAGAGCAACAGTATATGAAACACCAAAACCGAACAAACAGCGTTATGATGCCAGCAGTGAAGCAAAACAAGAACTTCAGGCGCGGTGAGGATCTCATCATCGCTGGGCAGAGACTTGCGGCTTGGTAGCATTGGCATGAAGATGATCGGTTCCGATAAACGCTTGCAAAAAAAGCCTACAACATCATTTTACAGTACCTTTTATTATGTTAGATTAGAACATATTAGGTTAGATTAGATTAGATTATATTAGGTTATATTAGATTATATTAGAGTATAGTAGGTTGTATTAAAATATTTTAGGTTATGTTAGATTTTATTAGATTATACTAGAATATATTGTATGATATTAGATGATATTACATGATATTACATGATGCATTATTATATTATACTTAATGTTATCTTATACTATACTATGGTATAGTGTAAAACAGTATTGTATAGCAACTTCTTTAGAACCAAGAAGCACTCAACAGCGTTACACATGTGGTATATAGTTTAAGTTCTCTCAAACCTTTATCCTGCTCCAACAGTCGTCCTCCTCCAAGAGCATGCCCAACCAAAGCTCCTCAGCCTCAATCCCGAAGATGTAAACTTGCAAGCCTGGTAGAGATCAACAAGACCAAACCCCTCCCTCTGCGATAGCAAGAAATGTCGGGGTTCGCTCTACGGCGACTAACAGAGAGGCTTTGAATATGTAGTAGCAATCATCTCCTCTCATAGCCCCTAATGGAAGTAGACCACCCTAGACCCCCAACACCAGCTCTGGCTTTGAAGGCCCCTGAAATTACCCCCAACCCTTGGTGTTCTTCGCCCGTACCTTAGAAGACCCTGCAAGGATCTGCGTAAACCACGCACCAAAAAAAAAAAGCAAAAAACAAAAAAAAATTCAAAAAGAGACACTAAACCCTAAACCCTAGACCCTGTCAATCCCCCGACCGAAAATATCTCAGCCAAACCCAGGCTGAGCGCGGCAAGCTGGGTCAGGCAGACGATGGGCCTCGAAGTCCTTAGTCTACTTGGAGGTTCATGGGTAGCTATAAGTCGGGTTATAAGTAGGGTAACCCTGGTTATAACCTATATTAGGGGACTTATATAAGTCCACTTATAACTACCCATGAACCT